GGAGGAGTAAGTCGTAGTAGCGGTTGATGAGTGACATTGGACGGATAGGATGGAGGGGTTATATATGTCTGGGGGGGCGATGGGACTACAAGTCCATGTCCCCTTTTGGTAATCCTTATGGGCACTCGATCATGTCCAAGTACCTTCCGTCCGCGGCCGCCTCCCAATTCACTCTCCGGACATTCCGCGACCCGCCATTTTGGGACAGCTCTCGACGGAAAACAAATTCACCGGCATCTCCATTTTGGGAGGGGAGGAAAAAAAATGTACTCACGTCTCATTTCTCAGGATTTCGAGTTGCCACTCGCAATGAACAAGATCACAATCGTGCGTCCTCTTCACGCCCCTCACACCAGCTCTACTTACAACACCGCAATGTACAGCTCCCAGGTGCATCTGCTGACCTCTCCGAGGCCAGTTTTGCGATTCACGACGAGACACATACACTCGGGAACGCCCTTCGCTGGATGATCATGAAAAAGTACCACCTCCTCATACCCCTTTACACTCTCTAACCTACTATCATTCTCTATTCGTTTTTGATATTCGTGTGCAGCCCAAAGGTGGAATTTTGCGGGTACAGGTGAGTGGAAACCCTACACACGGATTAACCTCATCCACCTCTCCTCCTCTATCCTTTGCACCACCTTTTTTTCACCTCTTCCTGCTCTTTTCCATCCCTGCTCCAACCGTTCGGCCATGCACCTGCTATACTGTTCGCCTCTGCCGAGCACAGGACCAGAGAGAAGGCGACAAAAAAAAACACGCCAGTGTTATTGTTCTCTCTCTATACTTCTATTTCGAGTCTACCGGTACGATGCGCCGATGGTGATTACTGAGCTGTTAAACGCGCCTAACGTGCGTTTAAGTTTACCGTTAGAGGTGAACCAGAGAGGACGTCTGAGCCCTTGCACGACCACGTGCTCAAGTTCAATGAACGAGGTATTCATGCATATAGAGTCGTGCAAGGCGTGACTGCAGGGCTCAACCTCTCTCTGCTCGCCTGAACTCGTTGCCAGAGGGTTACAACCCACGGCGGTGTTACCCTTATTTATCCCAAACTCTACTCTTTTGCGAGTGAAACTGAAGGACAATGGGAGTAGAGGAGGGCTTGAAAGCCATGTCCTGTGCTACCTGCAAAAACCAGCGGGAATCTTTGCATCACTACGCTCGCACAGATCCCATTGTGCTCACCTGTGTTGCACGGCGAATCTTGTCTGTCTCCAGGGCTCAAACGCCCTCCCCTTCTTTCCACCACTGTGGCTATAACCTTTTCTTCGTTGGACGTTCAGAGAATTATACGCTGCAAGACCCACTGCTATCCACTCTCTTTGACACAAAAGAGACGACGTGCTATAGATGGATATTCAGGTCCCAGTATTCTCTTCTCTGTACGCTACGAAAAATGGCGATATACTCGGCACTCTTCTCCCCAAAACCTTTTGTGCTCACCTAGCGATTCCCCTCTCCAAAAGCCCCCTCTTCTCTGTACTAGACTTGTGCTAAATAGTTCGCAGCGCACCTCATCCATCCGAAAACAAGATCCACCTTCGCATCCAGATGTACGGTGAGCCGCTCTCCCTTCACCTTTTACACCACCCCTAACTCTTTTCTCCAGACAACGAGTCTTCGTTGACCGCACTCCTTGACGCGCTGAGTGCACTGGACGACCTATGCGGAGTGATTGAGGAAAAGTACGAGGATGCGAGTCGGAGGTGGACTGCAGGTGAACGACCATAGTGCGGCGCGTTCATCGTCTCAAGTCGTTAACATAGTCGCTTCAGCTGACACTCTAGTCGAATAAAAGTAGCTGTTATAGCACGTGTAGATCAAAGGTCAAGGGTACGCAGATCCAAGGGGGACGATCTCGATACTTTGCTACACCCAATGTATATATACATGCAGATCACAGAAGATACCTTGTACAAAACTATGTGTTTCATGAGGTTCTTGTTCATGCGAGGCAGAGGCGATGCGACCCCAGAACAAAGGGAAGGGCGACGCGAGTACAAGAGATCCCGTACGCGTCTCATCGTTCTCTTGTCTCGTCTCGTCAGTGAACCCTGTGGGCGCACTCGACGACACCGCACAACTCGACAACATACAGCGCCCTTCCTAGCTCTCCTACCCCCCTCCAGACGCTCTCCCAGCTCTCCCAGCTCTCCCTTGACGCTCCCCCTGGCACGCAGGCTCTCAACTCTCGACGGAAACACCTTCACTCCGCTCCAAATAATTTCCCCCAATTTCTTGCCCAATGCGGCGCGCAGGGCGGGGACGGTGTTGATGGAAGTGAAGCTGTCTACGCTCGCGTGGCACACAACCATTTCCAAATTAGGCAAAGAAGCGACTCCCATCACCCATCACTAATAAATGACAATATAAACAAAGTGAATATAGGAAATGTATTGGATGTCAATCGAAAGAGACAATCCTTGTACTGAGTTGCTTTGTTCTAAAACGGTAGGATTACAACGTACAAGGTAGAGTGTGCTGGACGTCTTGACGACCACGCGAGCGTGAATTGGAGAGGGCTGAGTGCGTATAACAGTTTCCAGAAATGGAATACCATGTACTCTGCACGGCACGACCGAGTGAATTGGTACGAATATGGTAGTTGTAGTGTCGCTATGACCCCCGCCGTAGCAGCTGTCATGGCGAAATGAAAATAAAAAAACAAAATGTCTGAGTAGTAGTAGGTGACTGGATTGGGAAGGCGTTGCGATGATGTGGGTGGAGCGACATGAAACACTAGTGAGCTAGTTTGACTTGCTTTGTGGCCCGCAGGCAAAAGGCTATCAGTGATATTGTATTGCTAGAGTGTATTGCTAGTTGATGGAGCGGTGGAGGGGTTTGATAGAGCTCCTCAGTGCTCCGCTAGAAGCAAGTTTGATGCGAATAGGTCGGGTAGATGCAACCATTAACGGGACTATTAGAACTTGATGGTAGCAAGAGTAGTAGCAAGAGTAGTCTGCGGGCTTGCTATCTAGGCCATGGCGGCTGGACCCTCCCCTCCTCGGATCTCTCCGAACAAGACACCCTGATTGGAGAACAAGTCGCGGGAAGGGTGTTGACCGCAATGGACCCGAGGGTATTGATACGTGCCTGTATACCCTATTTGTGCCCTTGTAGTCGCGTGTAGAGAACAAGATGAGATTATTATGGGCGGCATAACAAGGCTAGCATTCGACAGGCACGCTCCTCCTCGTCAGCTAGCCATCATGCATAACCCCCACCACAACGACTACTTTACGAGTACTTGTACGTCTCTCATACTGTAATGACGCTCTTGTCCAGCGTCATCAACCACCACCCAAAATAGGAAACCGTTGTGGTGTCATAACAAAGCAGACCCTCTCGATCATCAAGGCGAGTCGACTCTCACACACCGGCCTATCCCCTGCATAACCAACTGCCATCAACCAACCAATGCATTGCTACGATTGGTTTTGGTTTGGGGATTATGCACGTCAAGTCGCACTCGCTTCAAACCGATCACGGAATGCACGATGCAGGTGTTAGACCGCGTTCCTAGTAGAACGGGTTATATGAGAAAAAGAAGTGAGGGAAGTGCAGGGTGTGATCATCGTCTGTACGAGAGGCAGTCGAGATCCTAGTCTTCGGTAAAACCACCACGCCACAGCGTTCGCTACACGGGAAGAAAAGTGGTTTACCGAATATATCGAGATCCTGCGGGATTTGTTGTTTTTCGGGTCAGCCACAAGGGTCTGGGTCACGTACACCCATACAACGCACGCTTAATCCCTACCCTCACATGGCCATCCCACCAACCACCATCTCATTCGCCAACACAGAGAAGCAAATTCGACGATCCTACCCCCTTTTCTCGAATTTTCATTCGAAGGGAGTAGCCGTATACGACATTACCTGTGGCGTCCGTCAATTTGATTCCAACGAGATGAAAATTGGAAGGGTATGCTAGGGACTAGGAGGGGGATTGCGAATAGAGGGATTGGAGGGACGTGATTGGTGGATGATCGGACTTGTCCGTTACGTTGGGACCCCTTGCTGTCTATAACGGGACGGTTCTCCTCTAGTGGTGCACAACGACTACCTCGATCGCATTCACAAAGAAAGAGGTGGTTGGTCGAGATGAGAGATGTGAGATGAAAATTGTGGGGTTTGGGTTTGGAACATGTAGTGGGGTCTTGTGGGTCCAGTAAAATAGGTTTTTTTGGAACCGTTATGGGCGCAGCTTAGCCATACGGTCTGCCTTCGCCGTCAATTTCGGTACGTATTTCACCTTTACGTTTTTCTCCCAACCAATCCTTAAACAGGGTACAGTCTTTTTTTAGGCGCATATCTGACGAGTAGAGATCGATCGTCATTATCTACCAGAACAACGATTTTGGCGCCAATTGTAAGAGGCCCCAGCGTGTGCTATCACCGTGCTACCATGCTCTCTTCTAGACAGCTGTGGTCAAGGGGTTGTGGGAGGGTTTCCTCGTGTTGGAGTAGGTCTTGATGGGGCAAGTCTTATCCTCTTTCTATCTATTCATTGTGGGGTGCACACCACAATGTTCTTGTGCTTCCTGGAAAGATGGAAAGAGGATACGATATGGTCTCGTGAAGGACTAGTGGAGGGATTATGGTGCATCCATTCGATATGTCGTCGGTAACGTTGCTCTTGGTGTCTCCCAGAGGGCCAATTAGGCCCATTGGATTGTGCTCCAGATACCTCTCGCAACGTTTCTGCTCGCTCGTTTCCGCTGGGATGCTACGAGTAGCGATGAATGGCGCCCATCACTGTTGATCCTATCAATTGATGGTCACCTTTGAATGATGGGTTTAGGGGTTACGGTCTAGCCAGCCCGGCACTCGAGACTGGAGTGTCTTGACGCCTTGACATGGTTTACTCCCCAGCGATTATCGTACCTATGGGTCCAAGTTGGTGCTAGAGCTCACTCATACTTGGACCCTGATGGAAATCTGCTGCGGGTACTCAGTCAATGCAGACACCCACACGTACCTGTTGTGACGGCGAACTATTCTACAATGGCTTGACTGTAGGTCACACCCAAAGCATCTACCTATATGCGCAGGACATATGTAATGGAGGTACATCTACGGCTCGGTCGGTCCTACTGGTGGATATTTGCCAGGTTTTGGATGCGTTTCATACCTGGGGAGGCCATCCAATGAGCCGACCGATCCCATGAGTACAAAGGCAATTCCTACTCGTCGTCTTGTCAACTCTTCGTACTGCCGTTCAAGAAGAAAGACGGATTCACTCTCATTCCGAGCGTCATGCATGTTATTGCTGATGCTTTAGCAGCCGTGTGTAGAGGTCGAACTGTCTACAACCCGCATTCAACTCCAAGCCTTTCACGATACCAGCCACAAGTCTATCACACGACAGGGTACAGTTCGGTATCTGACATTTTCTGTTCTATTCGAACGGCGTGGCATCTATCCTAGTCTGAAAACCTGTCTAGCTTGGTACTGTATAACTAGAATTTGGTTGACAGAGAGTTAGTTAATCCGTAAATAGCAGGTTTAATAACTAGTCTTGAAAAATCTCAGTCAGTCTCCTTGTGAAAAACTGCGTTGATACGAGTCATCAATATGGTGATGATCAACTTGTAAGCCAAGATTACTGAACCAAGCCTCCTTAACTGTCAGTCCTCCAACCTCCGACCTGACCGCGTTAAGGTCTTTGACTCGACTCCATTCTTTTCACGTCGACGAATTCATACAATAACCACACGTAAATAATACCATTCGTCACTACAGGCCGTCTGTGCTATCACCAAACGGGCGCCATCTCTCGCCCGACGTACCATTAAATCCACGCCCACGGAATAGGGACTGAAAAGGGATGACCAACTGGTTAAAATCGTATCGTAGAAAGAAACGACGTGAAGAACTTATAGGGAAGGGAGATTGGGTGTTGAGCTTGGTGTATAGCGACGGTATACCCATTCCGATACGCGTGAGTACGATGGATGTCTCCGTTTACTCCATAACTGATAGTCTTTTAGCATGGTCACGTCGATCTTCCTCCGACATGCCTCAATGAATCGCCAATCGGTGCACCAACAACCAGCCGTACAGAAGAACAGTCACTTTTTAGACGAATGGTGTCACGTGTCCCATCTCGTAACACTGTTCAAGAGGAGAAACCAGAGGTGGAATGGAAGCGGCCGGAAATTATTTTCCGTCATCACTCGGGAAATTCACCAAACTATGGCCACCTGAAAACTCCCATGGGCAGTCAATGGGAATTCGAGAAGGTCGACGTGATTGCGATTTGCTATGATCGTTCAGATCCCAAGGGCCTTCAGCATGTCATTCACAAGGTGTGTCTATACTATCATTATGAAAGATAGTGCTAATAAGTTGGGTAGTGGCACCCAGGTGTGTTGAAGTTTGCGATGAGGGTTCCCCTCGTCTTGATCGGCTGTTTCTACCCTATTCTTTCGGAAGTATATTTGGAGATGCAATCACGTTCACAGCAAACAGTGTCGACGAATGAACAGGTTCGTTTAATCTCGAGAGAGGAGGGAGAGGCAGCGGCGCGTCGGATTGGAGCGGTGGCTTATATCGAGTGGACAGAGAGCATTGACGAGCCGTTGAAGGTGATGAAGGCGTTGATGTGGTATGGATACCATTATCACTTAGATAAACCATAGTCTCGTCTAGGCGCTGACCTAGCAAATTCCTGGTTCGTCTATCTGCTAGAGTTCAACAAGAGTTCAAACAGAATTGACCATAATTCCTCAAACTGAGCTGTAGGAGGCAAGGTTTACCTCACCGTCGTCTCCAATAGCCTTGTAGTAAATTGACGATATTGACTTTCAGAGGGAATAGTAGGCGGCAGATGATTTATGACCTCGAGTCTATCTTGTGTATGTTGACCAGCAGTACAGTCTACGTCTATTCTGCATTTTAGCTGGAATGAGTGTAGTTGAAAGCACGTTATCATTTTTTTCTTTTGGACACCTTTAGCTGAAATTATGGATTCTGTCAAAAATAAGACCTTTGCGAGAATTCTGAGAGTTGCCTCGTGCACATGGTATTTTCGACCAAACCTCTTCCAAGCCAAATACTCTTTGTCCTGTTGTAAATCTCAGATTGACCTTTACCTCACTTTTCGCCCATAAGTTTCTTTTGCTTGAGGGATTCCTACAAAGGTGGTGAATTGATGGTCAAAGTGTACCATCAGTCCGCCAGGAATCGTTTGTTGAGGTCTAAGCGCGTCTTTTGCCTTGGATTTATTTCCGGAACTGGAACTTAAAGCTCTAGAGTATGAAAGAGATGTTCAGGTGGTTATGGAATATAGAATGGTATCGTAGAATGAGACGGCGCCAACGGCTGAGGGCAGGAGAAACAATCGTGTTCGGAGTGGCGTATAGTGACTTGATGCCCATTCCAATACCGGTAAGCTCGATGAATTTCTACACGACTTTGATGACTGATGATATTTCCTCTTGGAGCAGGGTAACACGATCGATTTACGATTACCCTTCAAAGTCTCGCCGATATATCCCAACGGAACACCGAAACCAAGCAATCAGTTAGATAAGAGAGATCAATATTCACTCATTAGACGAATTGCATCATATTTTCACACTATTAGAGACGAGAAAAGCGGAGAATGGGCACAATTGAGGCTTTTTGTTCGGCCATATTGGATACATTCGACCCGTTATCCTCGTTACTATATGAGTACCCCGCATCAACTTGCGTGTGCCGATGTGATTGCCATTTGTTATGATCGCTCCGAACCCGAGAGCTTCCACAATGCCATCTACAAGGTACGTATAGCATCATTCATAAAAAATAATGCTGATCAATTTTGAGTAGTGGCACCCGAGAGTATTGCAATTTTCAACAGGAGCTCCAATTTGCTTGGTAGGATGTTATTATCCTACAAACCAGCAAAGAGTGGCGAAGACTGAGGATCCTCGTCTGATTTCGACAAGGGAAGGGGAGGATGCCGCACGTCAGATAGGAGCAGTGGCATACATAGAGTGGAAAGAAGTCAAGGACGATCCGTTGGGAGTGATGAAGGCCTTGATGTGGTATGGATACTATTATCACTTGGCCAAACCTTTCTCTATAGCCGAATCCTGGGGACCTTGACGGTTCATTTCCTGCTCATCTGTTTGGATTCGAGCACAAGCTCAATTTCATACCTCAGTACTCTACTTAATCGAGGTGTTCGAGGCAAATCTTAATGTTCCTATGCTACCTCCAGGTTCTGTATCTAATTCGAATCCATAGCGCCTCGATGGAATTGGCTCCATCCTTATGGGATAGTCTCTATATTCTGTATCCATATCTGATCTTGAATGGCGGTTGGTCCGCACTTTACCTTGTCGTGTGACTTCCACTCCAGACTCTATTAGCCAGTCATCCCAAAATGAGTGTTTTTGCAACGAATGCGGAAATCTGGCTGGCTCTGTTTTGTATGCTGAATTCGACCGTGAGTCAACCGTTCCTTGGACCGAACCATTCATCTGTTGTGAATCTTGGTTCAACCTCCATCCTCATTTTCGCTGCCAACTTTTCGTTGAGAAATTCTTACAAAAGTAGTGATTTGATGATCGAGTTGTACCGTCAGTCCAACCGGGAATTGTCTGCTGTCTAGAAGCGCGTCTTTTGCTCTACGTCTATCCTCAAACTTGGCACTTTGAGACTTGGAACCGGAAAAGGAGTAGGAAAGTAATGTTGGAGTGGTTATGGAATATAGAGTGGTATCGTAGAATGAGACGGCGCCAACGTCTGAGGGCGAGAGAAACAATCGTGTTCGGGCTGGCGTACAGTGACGCTGTTCCCGTCCCAATATCAGTGAGCCCAAGGAATATTTACATGAATCTGGTGAATGATGGTGTTTCCATCTTTAACAGGGTGATACGTTAAAGTTGCGACTGCCTATCAAAGACTCGCCAATTTATTCTAGCGGGATACGGAAGTCAAGCCAACTCGAGGAGCAGGATCAACGTTCACTCATTAGACGAATTGCATCATATTCTCCGGCTCGTCGCTCTATTCGAAGAGAGAAAAGGGAGAGAGATTGGTTACAGTTGAAACTCTATGTCCGACTATACTGGGACGATATCTCAGCCTTACCCCGTCATTATATGGGCACTCCCCGGCAGCTCGCGCGCGCTGACGTGATTGCGATTTGTTACGACAGGTCCAAACCCGAGAGCTTACACAGTGCCATTTACAAGGTGTGTATAGTATTATACAATGGAGATAATGCTGACCAGGTTGGGTAGTGGCATCCCAGAGTGTTGCATTTTGCAACAGGGGCCCCAATATGCTTGGTCGGATATCTAAATAGACGATCGCAATCACTGCAAAATATGACGAAGAGCGAGGGTGTGCGTCTGGTGTCGACAAAGGAGGGAGAAGAAGCAGCACGTCAAATTGGGGCGGAGACATACATCGAGTGGACCGAAGGCAAAGATGATCGATTGAGGGTCATGACAGTAGTGATGTGGTATGGTTATTACTATCACTTAGATAAACCATTTTTTCCATCCGAACGCTATCGTGATTAGAGGAACTTGTACTCCCTACCTGCAGAAAGCCGGGCATGCGAACATGAGTTGGATACTACACTCGGTTGTAATGGTGGGATAGCCCATGTATATTCTATGTTTTGATCTGGCCTTGTATGTATAGATGGGCTCGGAGGTGCCATTTTATGCGGTTTCCTTTGATCCTCATGGATGTTGTTCAAAGTATGGTCCTCCTGCAGCGAATTCGAGAACCCGTCTGGCTCTATGTTTGTGTCCGTAGATTGACGCGTCTTCGACCCTACCCGCCTTTACCGTTTCGACCTACCGTTGATTCTCGCCTCCCCTTTCATCCAACTCTTCTTTCCTCAATTCCCCATTGATAGGTTTCTGCCAGGACAGCAAATTGGTGGTAGAAATGTACCACCTGTCCGATTAGCATTCGTCCAACAAGCGCGCGTCTTTTACCTTGGGATCTATACTCGGACCATAATCCTGGAACCACAGTATTCTGATCGAAGAAAAGATGATTAAATGGTTCTGGCACCTAAGGTCCTATCGTCGAATGAAACGGCGTCAACGTCTCAGAGCGGGAGAAACAAAAGTGCATGGAATCACATATCATGACGGCTTCCCCGGGCCATTATCCGTGAGATCAAAGTATATCTGCATAGAGATGTTGACTAATGCATTTTTGGAGCAGGGTAGGACAATCAGGCTTCGACTCCCAGTCAGAGACTCGCCAATTCTTCCCAACGGGATACCAAAGCAATGCGATCAACAAGATCAGCGTTTGGTTATTAGACCGACAACGACATATGTCCCGTCTTCACAAGCTAGTAATGACGGGGCAAGAGGACAGGGAGAATGGATACAAGCAAAGCTCCTTTTCCGTCGGTACTGGAGAAATTCACCAAATCATAATCCCCTGGAATCGACTGGAAGCACTCCAGCGCGCATCGACGTGATCGCCATTTGTTTTGACCGGTCGAGACCTGAGAGCCTCCACAATGCTATCTACAAGGTTTGTGTATAGTGATATTGTTAAAGAGACGTTACTAAACATATCTGGGTAGTGGCACCCGAGAGTGCTGCAGTTTGCGGGGGGAGCCCCCGTTTGCTTGGTTGGCTATCTTAACCCTAGACGCTTGCAAGCCAATTCAAATGTGCAATCCTCGCCACTACCAGGAGTGTCCAAGAATTCGAACACTCGTCTGATCTCGTTGGAGGAGGGAGAGGATGCGGCACGTCAGATAGGAGCGGAGGCATACTTGGAATGGACGGAAGAGACGAGCAGATCGTTGGAATTGATGAAGACGCTATTTTGGTATGGGTACTATTATCACTTGGACAAACCATTTTCTCCAGCCGAAACTCGGAAAGATTATAGGTCTTATATCTGACTCACCTATTTATTTTAATGCTCAATGCACATTCAAACGTAAATTAGAGATCATGGTTCATTCATAATATATCTGATTGAGATATTCAAGGTAAAATCTGACCTTCTGTGGTCACCGCTAAGCTCAATATTGAATCTGAGAATCGGAGGGAGAGTAGAAAGGTTATGAGGTATACGTGGTGCCAGGTCTATTTCGTATGGGACGGTGATAATAACAGGTTCCACTCTGTATCTTTATCTGGAATTTGTGGTTGGCCTGTGCTTGATCGAGGTTTGCTACTTTTGAATCCTTCGAGGAACTTTATGAGGTCCTTGTGAATACACCTGCGAACCTGTCTAATAGTGTGTTTGCATCCAACGGCCCACCAGCCCAGCGGTAAACATCTTCGACCTCACCGAGACTACAACTTTTGCACCTGTCATAATCGATATTACATCCATCCCTCTCAATCTTCTTCTATTGACCATTATATATACAAATACTTGATTTATGGTAGAAATTTATCGTTTGTCCGATTAGGGACCATCAAAGTGTACCTTCATTTAGCAGGCGCGCGTCTTTCGCGTCACGTATACTGTAAGATTGAGACACCACAAGTCTTCAAATACGAAAAGCATGGACAGGTGGCAGTGGTATATGATGAGTTATCGTAGAAAGGGACGGCGCGAACGTCTGGTGTTGGGCCAATCCACGGTGCAAGGGTTGATGTTTAGCGATGATAGACACACCCTAATATCCGTAAGAATGACAAACATTTGCATTTACTTGATGACTAACGAGCCTGGAGACCGATCATCGACACAAGCTCCCAATGTCAGGCAAAAATTTGCCAGTCCTCCCGGCCGGATTGGCCGAGATGGACCATCCGCTGGATCGGCAAGAGCATCGTTCATTCATTAGGCAGCTGACATCAAGAAACGTCAAAAGAAAAGAAAGGGGTGAGAAGACATTCTCGCTCATAAAGAAGCTTAGGTTTGGCCTGTACTTTGGCGAACAAACTCGCCTAGAAGACTTTGCAGCGAATAAAAGCACGTTCGCAAACGCCGACGTGATTGCTATTTGTTATGACCGGAGCAAACCAGAGACACTTCATAACGCCATTTACAAGGTGTGACTTGTATTATGAGCTAAGAGACTACTGACGATTGTAGTAGTGGTATCCAATTGTTCTCCGATTTACAGCGGGAGCTCCTCTTTTCTTAGTCGGATACTGCTATAAATATATCCCAGGGCCAGTTTTATGTGTACAGTCAGAACAGAGGGTCTCGACAAGGCAAGGAGAGGAAGCGGCACGTCAAATCGGAGCGGTGGCGTACATTGAGTGGACAGCGGGTATCGACGAGCCATTAAGGGTGATGAAGGAACTAATGTGGTATGGGTACTGCTATCACTTGAATAAGCCATCGTCTCTATCCGAACGCTTGAAATCATTGGTGGATTTTTGACACCCATATAGAGCTCAATAAGAATTCAGATATAGGTTTGACATTACATATCATTCATATATCTGATTGAGATATACAATGCAAATTTTGAGGTCCCTTTGTCAAGTCGAGCCGTGGTCTGTTGTAGTGAGAGGCGACAAGCTTTGTTCACCAGGGTTGTTAACGCCGACACTTTTCGACCTGCTCTCGAAACTCGACCTCACCTGTCTGCTCACTCTTCTCCCTTCGTTTGCTGCCGGGGAACATATGCAACGGTTTACGCCACTGATGGGCTACTTAACTTATCCCCGAAGCGCGCCTATTTGACCTCGCTACAACCTACCTGATTATTGGCTGGTATTATAGCCTCCCTCCTCGACCACCCAGAACCAACAAGGCCCCTTGCACTTTGATCTCCATTTCTTGGAACCAAGAGACAGGTGGGAAACAATTCGACCCAGCAGTTGACGTAAATACAAAGCGCCGCGGGCTATTTCCTAAGAAGAGATGGTCAAATGGATATGGGGTGAAGCATGGTCTCGTAGAAAGAGACGACGGGAGATGTCAAAGCGTACAATTCTCGTTCGTGGCTTGGCGTTCGGTGATTCTCAAAACGTTCCCATCCCAGTGAGTCGATTAACGTCTATCTCCGTACCTCAAGACTGAAATTTTGGGGTCAGGATATTTCGATCGATTTTAGGCTCCCAGTTACATACTCACCGATTTTCCCTGACGGATCGCTGAAACCGCCGCCGAAGCAAGAGCAACACCACAAGCGGTATCGGTCCATAAGACAAAGGTTACCACCCCTCTTTTCCCATCCTCAACCTATCCAGGAGGAGTACAGGGTAGAAAAGGAGAATAAGAGGATATCCTCCAACATTAGTTTCAACCAGTATTGGGGGAACCAGAGTCACCAGGAAGACTTCATCACCAGTGCGTGGGCGTTCACACACGTCGACGTGATCGCAATTTGTTATGATCGGTCTAAACCCGAAACACTTCACAATGCCATTTATAAGGTGTGTACCCAGGTATATGGGAAGAATACGTCTGAACTTTCTTTGTTAGTGGTACCCGAGTGTTTTGTGGTTCGCTGCTGGTGCTCCTATTTGCTTAGTCGGGTACCTCTACCCTTTCAACGACAAACCAGTCTCAGATAAAGGAAAGCAGAATGCGCTGACGAATGAAGATGCTGACCTGGTTTCAACCCAGGAAGGAGAGGAAGCAGCCCGTCAAATTGGGGCAGTGGCATACATTGAATGGACGAGGGGTGACCAGTCGCGTTTAGCGGCAACGGAGACGTTGTTATGGTATGGCTACTATTATCATTTGTATAAACCGGAGAT